GTGGTCTCTAACTCCAAGGGAATACTCGATGATGCCTCTGCCTTCTTCGCAAGTATCTTCGGGGAAGACAGGTGCCAGCTTCGGGAGGACAGGAAACCTGTTGAAGGGAAAAAGCTTGAGAGATGGGAAGCAAAGGTGTTGGCGGCGGACTGGACATAGCAAGAATTCAAAGCAGCTTTCGGTGCAATGGCGGCGAAGAAATCCCTCGGAAAGGATGGACTGCCAAATGAGCTCTTCGAAACTCATTGGGACTTGTTGGGCAAGGGCTTCATGGCAATGGCGAAGGACTTCGCATCCACTGCTACTCTCTCCACGGAGGTTAAAGAAGCTGCCACGATCTTGCCGCACAAGAAGGGGGATAAGGATCAACTTAACAATAGCAGACCGATTACCCTACTCAACTTCACATACAAGGTGCTGGCGAGGGTGATTGCGGACAGGATGAAAAATGTAACCGGAAAGGCGATTTTGAAGGAGGACGGACTTCTGCCGGGAAGGAGACTTAGGATGCGGTGGGGCTGGTAGCTGACATCATCGACGCAGCTCGCAACAAAAACGAAGACTGGTTCCTGGTGTTAGTCGACTTCAAGAAAACATTTGGTTGTGTCGAGGAACTACATCTTTAAAATCTTGAGGGAAATGGGTTTCCCAGACCGGCTTGTGCGCTGGGTGGAGGGCCTGCACAAAGGAACACAAACGCGGGTGCTAGTCAACGTTTGGATCGGTGAAGGAGTGGAGGTGGCATTGGGAGTACGGCAAGGCTGTCCGCTCGCTCCCTACCTGTTATTGTGCGCAATGGAGCCGTTGGAGCAGGAAGTGTGGCGGAAGAAGCTGGGGCTCAGTAAAGCTGACCAACGGCTCTCCTACATCGGTTACGCCGACGACACCATGCTGGTCATGGAGGAAAAGAATCAAATTGTCAGAGTGGAGCAGATCCTAGAAATTTTCAAGCTTACCTCGGGGCTAAAGACCAATATGGAGAAGTCAGTTATTCTGCCGCTGGGCAACAACCTCGGCATACACTCCTGCAGACCAAACAACTTCAAATGGATGAGGCGGAAAAGCTGCTTGGTGTCTCGATAACCCCTGCCGGAAGTTGCCAACCAACATGGGAGAAAGCGAGAGAGGGAATAGTCGAAAAGCTTAAAACATGGCATAAACATATTTCTCGATGAAGGCAAGAACAGCGGTGGTGAACGGTTATTCCATGCCGGTGTTGGTGTTCTAGGCACAGGTCTACCCTCCACCTGCAAAAACATGGAACGCCCTCTCCAAGACTTTTCAGAATTACGTATCCGAAAACAAAGCAACGGTGGAGAGGGTTTTCACACAGTGGAGCAAAGAACTCCTACACACACCGAGGGAGCTCAACGGAGTTGGGGTACACGATCCAGAGATGATTCTCGCTTGCCTTATAGCTAGGAGAGTGGGGCTGCTGATCTCGGAGACGAATAAGCTCAAGCGCGACCTCATGATGTGCGCAGCAGAACTCCCCATGGGCATCGAGTAGGCATGGGAAGACTCCATTTAACCTCAATTTCAGCCATTAATACACAGTTCAAGAAATCAGTAGGCATGGGGAGACTCCATTTAACCTCAATTTCATATCGTACGAATCCAGTTGACTCCAGTTGTGGTACCGTATAGCCGTGGATATAAGTGCCGTCCGATTAAAGGCGCTGACGCTCTATTTGGAGCATGGCGCTTATGGCCGGAACTCAATTATGAGCGCACCCCCATTGGAGCATGTACTTATTATAAGCGCATCTCTTTCCACACTTTCAAGTTTTTTTACTCTACTTTATGAAAGACCCTAAACATAACATTCTTTAAACTCTAAACACGTTGAAAAGATTTTGACTTGAACATGTCAAGCTATGGCTTCGCATTTCAGAGCTTAACATGTCTAGCTAGGATCTACCTACTCCTCGTCAGACTCGGGCTCCTTGCAGTTGTTGCCCCAGAAGCCGTCAGCGATGATCTCGTCATCGCCGTCCACTTCCTAAGTCAGCTGGCTCCGCCTGTGCGCCATGGCGAGCCCGTCCTCACTGCCGTCAAGCGCGCTGCTACTGCCACAAGTGAGGAAGGAGTGCTTGATGAGGTCGGCGGGAACTCCCTTCCAGGCCCGTGAGATCCATCTCAGCACCACTACTGGTGGCGGCTTCTTGAGGTTTCCAACACCACTAGATAGAGAGGGGGGGGGAAGCGGTTAGATCAACAACGGGGGGTTTAGGAAGCACGCATATGGTCTTAACGGTGGCTTCCGTACCTGCAACTGTCAGTCTCTCTTGGCCCTCCTCTTCAAACCACTTCTGGTACTGCTGGCGGACGGAGGCCTTGAAGCTTTTGTTGACTGAGACGTCGAGGGGCTGAATCTCCGCCATACACCACGTCGGGATGACCGCCGGCACGATGTCGAAGTCGGCGAATTTCGCCTTCATGGTATCTGTGAGATGACCGCAGTAGGAGTCCACCACGAGCATGGCGCTCCTCGCATGCCTACCAAACCGGGGCCTAATAAAGGGCTTGATACACTCGTCAAGCCACCGCGTGACACCCTCGGCGTCCATTCATCCATTCTCGTGGCAACCCACGACCACATATGCACAATCACAAGCGGTAAGTTAATATCCTGATTAAAAAAACAAGGAAATAAACATCGAAACGAGACGCATCTCTTACCTGGCGGAAAGTCTCCCTTCGGCACCGTCTTGCGCTTGAAAAACACCCACGGCTTGAGTTACTCACTATCAGCCATGCACGCCAACATCACAATTACGGGTTCCTTCTGGTCCACAGTGGTGGTGGTGGGCATCTCCAGCCAAAGCAGCGTCTGGTCGGTGTTGATAATCCACGGGGTTTCGATGCCGCGCTCACGATGCATGTCACCGACGAACTGCCAGAACCTCTCGCAATGCTCCGCGACATCTGTGAACCAGAGGAAGGGGTGGGGACACATAAGGCTTAGTAAATCACAAATAATACGGTACAACACAATTAAGAAACAAACGGAAATTAAATTCTTGCAAGAGGCAGTTTTTTGGGCAACCTCCGTCTTCATGCGCACGCTGAGATTTCACCGCCACCGAAACCGGTCCGACCACCTTTGGCTCCCCTTCCACTTCACGTCGGGGTAGAGTAAGTTCATGTACTCCCGCGACCACTCCTGCAGACGACCGACGGAGACGGCGGTTCCCTTGCGGCGCCAGTCGAGAAGCCTCTCGTACACTTTGAGCTCCATCGAACGGTACCAAGAAGATCTCCCGCGACCACGCATGCGCTTTCGTGCGGAGTGAACATCCTTGAGGAAGTCCGAGGCTCTCTTCCACTCCGTGAGACACTTGCGGTGGATGCCACTTTCGCGAGCCAACGCGTGCACCGACACCGCCAAATCTAGACGCGCGATCCACCTCAACTTCTCATGCGCAGTATAAGCCTGACGCTTATGCTGTGAGGGCTTGTGCCTGGGAGAGGGGGGGCGGGCATCACGGTTCTAAGAAGAAGGGTGGGGTTGCTTGCGGTTGGTAGGCGGAAAAATGGTATCAGTAGTTTCTCGGGAAGGCCGTCGCGTGATTAGTACTCTACGCCGTCGTTGTCGTCGTCGCCGCCCGGGGCATCCTCGGGAAACACATCATCCGCGGTACCAGCCTCGGTGCCACTCTCGGTGCTAGCCTCGGCGACGGCGCGCCACTCTTCATAGGCGTCGGCCTTATCATCGTCAGCGCCCACACCGGATTCGTCCCAAGTGCAATCTTCGGGCTGGCCCCAACGTGGTGCTGGGGCCGGAGCCTCAACGTACTCATATGGGGCCTTGTTGCTGTCAGGTTCCGAGAGGTACTCGTCGAACGCCGATGGGAGCAGGAGCGTGAGCACGGGCCGATTGCCCGTGCCTTCATACACCGGCGGATTCGAAGGAGCAGGAGGAACAGGAGGCGTAGGAGGAGCAGGCGGCGCAGGTGGCGCAGGAGGCCGTAGTGGCTCTGGTGGCTCTGGTGGGACACGGCTATACCAGCCTACCGGTAGGCTTCTTCTTGAACAGAAAGTGCGCGCCTGAGAATTCCGCCATGGCTTCCGCAACCAGGCGGGCGAGAAAAAGAAACTGATGCAAAAAGTGCAAGACAGAGTGAAGAAATAATGTTTGGAGGGGACCCCTTCGGGTTAGTGGCTCGGGGTCCTCCTCAATGAGAGACGGGTACCCCCTTGCCTGAACCCGCAAAGGAGGGTTCGCGACACCGACCATGCTGCTATGGCAGGGGAGATTCGACACCCTTCTAGAGGGTTCGGCCAAGATTCTCCTGCTTAGCAACGCATGACGATGTGATTGGGCCGCACGGCAGGTTTCAAGTCAGCTCTGGCAGGTGCGTTGCATCGGGACGGTTCTTGTGCGGTGGGAAATCGAAGCGCGGTTATTTTCGTTTGCATTCCATGCACGATCCCACGTGTGAACGTTTCGCATACGTGTTCGCCTTATTGAGGGCTTCAATTTGGTACCTTTAAAAACAAATTTCATTTTTTCGTTATATAGGCGCATGCGCTTATGCCCTGTACTCAATTACAAGCGCCCCCCTTAAAAAAATCAATTTTTTCATAAGCGCATATGCGCTACTATCAGGGGCTATACAGTATATCCATTCAGCCTCCATTGACTTACCGTATTACAGTCTTTATCTACCGATCCCGGCTGCTGCTGACTCTCTTGGTTCAAGTAGTGGCGGTTGTATTGGTACTGCTGCTGAGGCTACTGTTGTTGATGACGTAGTGTCGCTGCTGCAGAGAACGCTGCAGCATGCGACAGTGGTGCGAGGGAGATGGGGGTGGGGGGTGTATACCCAATATAACTATGCAAGGTACTTTGCACTGAAGATCGATGTATCTATATGGACTACGTAAATGGAATGGTCCACTTACAGAATTTAAAGAATAGAGTGTGCTATAAAGGAATGTGAAACCAGTGCCCCCCTTATAAGACCAACCACTAATTACTCCATGCAAACAGCACCTCAGTTGAGTGACACCAACTTCCTGGCAGCTTCTGCTATCTCTGCATCTGTTCCGGCACCGCCCTTCACGAGGCTCTCCAGGCGCTCCCAGGCAAATCGCGCCTTGAGGTCCCTGGAGGGGAGGAAAGGGGGGAGTGGGGTTCACAGGCAATGGGAGGCCATGTGGGGAATGGGAGGCCATGTGGGGAATGATGTGATCAGGCCTCCAAATTGGTGATGGAGCAGGCTGGAAATCGGACTGTCAGGCAACTCTACACTGTAAACAAAACTCTGATCCACCAGTAAGAAGCCTGGAAAAGGCATGAATGGGCTTATAAAGGCAGCAATGTGAAAGCTTCCAGCAGATTGGGGGCATGAGAGGGGCCTGTGCGGAGTCCACTGGTGACTCAGGCAGTTGAGCGACTGGCAGTGCAGTGAGGGTGACTGGGGTACCTGGCTGACTGGCAGTGCAGTGAGGGTGACTGGGGTACCTGGCTGACTGGCGCAGGGCGGGGTGGTAGTGCTCCCCATTGATGATGTCCGCTATGCTCACCCACCTGGTGCATAAGAGGGGGGTGCGGTGCAGACAGGAGATGCAAAGGAGTGAGTCACTTTGAATGAGGGACGATGAGGCACGGAGGGATGGTAGTGCTCTCTGTCGACGATGTCGTATATGCTCACCCACCTGGTGCATGGGAGGAGGAATGGGTGAAAGAGAGAGCGGAGATGCAAAGTGCAGAGTCTGTGCGGGATGGTAGTGCTTCCCTTGATGATGTATGCTATGCCCACTCATGTATGAACCGGAGGAGGGAGGGGTGCTTGGAAAGGAGGGACGGGAGATGGTTAAGAGATGAAGACGGCAGTGTCTGACTGGTTTAAGAAAAGGATGGATGGAACAAGCCAAGACAAAGCAAACGTGACACGGACAGGCAGGCAGTGGATTCAATGTAGCACCAGGTGAACTGGCATAAATAAATTGATGGAACCACTTTCAATCCATAAGCTCACTCTTCACGTGTATACACTGCATTCAATCAAGTCAACTATGCAACTCACTTGGAAAGGATGGACGGAACAAGCCAAGACAAAGCAAAAGTGACTCACTTAGAGTCGCTGTACACTTCCTCATCCAGCTTGATTGCTGCTGCCTGCTCAGCCCCAATAGCCACCGTGAACACCCCGCTGATGTCGCACGTCCCGTTCTCCACGAAAGTTGCCTGGACGCCTTTTAGGCGAAAGTTGCCTGCACGCCTTTTAGGCGAAAGTTGCCTGCACGCCTTTTAGGCGAAAGTTGCCTGGACGCCTTTTAGGCGAAAGTTGCCTGCACGCCTTTTAGGCGAAAGTTGCCTGCAGGCCTTTTAGGCGAAAGTTGCCTGGACGCCTTTTGGGCGCCTCAAAAGTACTCACTTAAAATCGCTGTATTCTTCCTCGTCCACTTTGATCACCGCAGCCTGGTCGGCCCCAATGGCTACGGTGAACACCCCGCTGATGGCGCACGTCCCCTTCTCCACAGGCGCCTGCATGCCTTTTGAGGACCCTGCACACCTTTTAGCAACCATTTTGGTGCCTTTTAGGCACCTCAAAAGAACTCACTTGGAATCACTGTACTCCTCCTCGTCCAGTTTGATAGCAGCTGCCTGGTCGGCCCCAATGGCAACAGTGAACACGCCGCTGATGTCGCACGTCCCGTTCTCCACAGGCGCCTGCACGCGGCGATACCACCAGTACGAGTGCACGCTCAGGAACCGCACTGCACCGGGCTCCACCGTGACGCCCAGCTCTCTGCTCAGCAGGCGCACCACGCTGTCCTCTGGCTTCTCCCCCGGCCGCATGCGCCCCCCCATGAACCTGCGAGGGAGGAGAGTAGTGTGGGAGGAGAAAAGGTGTTTTCGCAAGTGGTGGGAGAAAAGGGAGGAACAAGGGTTGGGACTGGCAACAGAGCAGCGCACGCCTCCCCCGGCCGCATGCGGCCCCCCATGAACCTGGCGAGGGGGATAGAGGAACAGGTGTCTAGGCAGGCAGCAGCAGCACGATTGCTCTGAAGTCTAGGCTGGTCCGGTCCCATGCGACCCCGTGTGCCCCTGGTGGACAGCGGACAGCACAGTGCGTGTCATGTGGTTGACGCTCTGAGACGGCTGGCGGGACGGATTGGGAAGTTGTGGGTGGAGGGTGGGGCAGCAGCAGGGCACGTGGGGTTGTGAGAAACGGAGGGCGGAAGAGGCAGGAGTAGGCGGGTGGACACAGGTGGTGAAGCGCGAGAGGGGTTGGGATGGGTGCAGAGGGTACCAAGCAAGCGCACATGAGTGCCGTGGCAGAGAGTGGGCAATGGAATCGATGGGATGAATGAGTTTCGGCCGTTCTTTGAGTTGAGTTGAGTTGAGGCACCTCAGAGCTTCAATCAGAACAAGGCATGCTTCAATCAGAACAAGGCATGCTTCAATCAGAACAAGGCATGCTTCAACTGGCCCATCGCCCCACCACCGACTGCATCACCCGCAGTCAGCCACACCACACCCCTGGGTTCACCACCAACCGAACCCACTCAAACCGCACTGGACCGCACCCCACTGCTCACCACCAGTCGGGCTGCGGCTCCACCTTGCGCTTCCCCAGCAGTATTTTGCAGTTCTCGGAGCTGTCTGTATCGAGGATGAAGAAGTCCGCGCACGCCTTGACGAGGCAGTCCAGCGCGCGCCCGTACTCCGCGTCCGCCAGGAACACCCCCGGCGATTTGTAAATACCCGTTTCAAAGTTGGGTATGGTGCGCTTGTACCCCGCCATTTTGGGGGGTGAGTGTGCGGCTGGTGCGGGGGAGGCGGGGAGGGACGGAGAGAGGGGCGTAGAGGGGCGGAGAGGGATGGGAGGAGAAAGGAGAGCGCAACCTCACCAACTAGACCAGCGCCCTGCCTTGTCGTGATCTGCGTGGAGCATTGGTGGCGATCGATCGTCAGTGCGGCGTGGCGCTCATGGGAAGAGGCGTAACGAGGGGCAACGTGGGCCAGTGAGGCGCAGCGAGGTGCAACGAGGGGCAGCAGCGGCAGGGAGAGATGCAGGAGGCGAGCCGGCGGGGAGAGATGCAGGAGGCGAGCCGGCGGGGAGAGATGCAGGAGGCGAGCCGGCGGGGAGAGATGCAGGAGGCGAGCCGGCGGGGAGAGATGCAGGAGGCGAGCCGGCGGGGAGAGATGCAGGAGGCGAGCCGGCGGGGAGAGATGCAGGAGGCGAGCCGGCAGGGAGAGATGCAGGAGGCGAGCCGGCGGGGAGGGGCGCCGGGCGGGGAACAGCGAGCGCGCAGCAGCGTAACAAGCAGAACGAAAAATTACCAGCAGAATAAGTTATTTCGGGACTAGAATGTGCGTAAAAGTGCGCGAGTAGCCAAAAGTGGTGTTGTTGAGATAGCATCAGCCGTGAGTATCGCCTGCGTGGGAGGAAAGGAACTGGCTTGCTCTCAACTCAACATCTGATCATACTAACCGATTTGGTGAGCTTGGAAACTCGTTTGTGTGCGGCTATCCTCGTTAGCGTGCTGCTAACAAAATTGCGTAATTATATACGCTCTCAGCGAAGCAACTTTTGCGCAGCTCCCTAGCTACACAATAAATAACGAACTTGAACGAAAATAAATGGTAAGAAACAAATGATTGTCTTCTGCAAGGCTGATCCACCAATAAGAGGGCCAGAACATCACGTGTGCTGCGGCATGTCAACTCAATCCGCATACAACAATCCTATCAGACTCAATACCGCTCATCACCACCACCATCCTCATCATCCTCGTCATAAAACCCTTCCTCCTCAAATTCCTCCTCCTGGTAGTCCCCCTCATCCTCCACATACCCCCCAGCAGCACCCATTCCTGACCCTCCACCTCCGCCACCTCCCCATTCCCCTCCCCCCTTGTCATGCCCTGCCCCTCTCCCACCTCCACCCATCACCTCCCTCTTCCCTCTCCCTCCTCTCCCACCCCCGCCTCGCCCCCCCTTCTCTCCCCCTCCCCATCTCCCTCTTCCCCTGCCCCTGCCACGGCCCCTTCCCCCCGCTCTACCCTTAGCTTCCAAGGAAGGCGCAGCGGAGGAGGAGAGAGAATGAGGCCGGCGTTGCCCCAACGGCACATCCTCCATATAAGCATCCTCGTCTTCCTCAACATCTTCCTCCCTTCCATAATCACTATACTCCTCGCTATAGTCACCCCTGGAATAGTCATCATTCCCATCCTCATCCTCATACCCCTCCTCATTCACACTCTCCCCATACCCACCCCTCGCACTCCCTGCACCATCAAACTCCTCCTCCTCACCATACCCTGACACACCCGTGCCACCTCTCCCACCACCTCTCTCTCCACTCCCCACTCCCCTCCCCACTCCCCTCCCCACGCCTCTCCCTCGTCGTCTACCCCTTCCCCTGTCCCGCCCCACACTTCCCCCGTCCCCTCCACCAGCACCACCATGAGCAGCAGCGGGTGGGTCATCAGCAAGCGCCACGCCGTGGAAGTGTTTGAGGTGCAACCGCAGCTTGTAGTCGTGGAAGTACCGCTTGCTGCACCCCGCCTCCCCGCACGCAAACACGCGCTCCGACTCCTCCAGCTTGCGCCGCCGCCGCCGCCTCTTCGGCCGCACCTCCTCCTGCTCCTCCTGCCCTCCCGGGCCCTTCTTCACCCCTGCACCCTTTCCTCCCTTCCCTCCCTCCACTCCTCCCCCTCCCTCTCCCTCCTCGCCTCCCAATTCCTCCCGCCACGCCTCCTCCCCTCCCTCATCCTCCTCCTCTTCTCCACCATACCCCTCCATGCCGCCCCCCTCCCCCATCGAATCCCCACCCCCCATGTCCTCCCCGAACCCATCACTCTCAGCACCAGCATCCAGCGCATCACTGCCCATGCCCCCATCATCCGCCCCCTCCTCCTCACTCCCCATTTCATCATACAGCGCGCCCTCCCCTTCCTCCTCCCCTTCCCCCTCGCCTAAGTCACTCGCCCCAGTAACCTCCTCCCCCTCATTATAATCACCCTGCTCACTCTCCCTCTCCATGCCTTCCCCATCCTCCTCTGCTCCAAGCTCACCCCCATAACCACCCGCACCCCCACCATACCCGCCAGTGCCACGGGCATTCTCAGCATCACTCCATTCCCTTGTTGACCCACCTACCCCTCTCCCCCTCCCTCTCCCTCTCCCTCTCCCTCTGCCCCTCCCCACTCCCCTGCCTCTGCCTCTCCCCCTTCCCCTTCCTCTCCCTCTATAGCTCTCCGCCACGTCCCCCTCTCCTGCCTCCCCTCCTGCCTCCTCCCCTCTCCGCCCTCTCCCCCTCCCCCTTCCACGACCCCTGCCCCGCCCCCTCCCCCTCCCGCTGCCCTTACCCCAGGGTTCCCTCACCCCGCCTCCCTCTCCTGACTCTGAAATGGAATTCAGGAATCGCCCTCGCTTTGTTGCCATTCCTTTTTGCGATCCATCACCCACACTCCCCCTCTCCTCCCCATCCTCACTCTCCTCCTCCCCCTCCCCATCCCCACCCTCGTCGCCCTCCCCATCCCCCTCTGCCCCTTTCCCAAACCCCCTTCTCTCAC